ACAATATAGGGTCGGAACACCATAAGATAAGGGTCAAGGCTTAATGGTTTGAAACTAAAAGTAAATGAGTAATTCCTACCCGAGATGACTGAAAGAGTCATAGCAGCATCTCACGGGTTCTACCATGCAGGCTGAATACAGATTTACTAGGCAACATTATGCCTGAGCAGGTAATATAAGATCGAAGACAAGAAAAACGAAAACAATAATTTTGAGTTGCAATTGAACTGAAGTTTCTTTGTATTCATGCGTGGGCGCTTCTAAAATAAAATCCTAGCATGATGAAAGACTTGCGTGAAAAAATTATGATACAAAAGCCCAAATCATTACGAGCATACATTCCTGCAGAAAATAATATGTTAAATAAAAAAAACGACCTTCTGATTTAGAAGCAGAATATCCCCATTTCCACTATCTTTCATCTGGGAAACTTGTAACTATGCCACTTTTCAGCTGTTCCAATTCTTCCTTTAAACAACAAATTTCTTGTTGGTATTTTTATATCAGTGATTTCTCATCTATTATCTGCATGTTCATAGAAAACATGATTGCTTTAATGGGTGCTCAAAATAGGGTACTTCAATATGTTTTGCCCTATGGGCAAACTTCAATGTGTTATGCGTCTCCTCACAATTGCTTGATGAGGGTGTAACAGTGCAGATCAACTGTTTCAAAAGTGTACAAAAGTAAGTTATATATGACCTTTTGACAAAAGTTAATAAAAACGATCACCAAATTAATGTACAAAAAGCTATCACCAGTGTTATTATGCGGTTTGTCAAAATTCTGCCATAGTGGCCGCCGCGGCGGCCTATGGCGCCGCCACAACAGCCATCCTTCACTAATTTTGCATGGCGGATTGTCAAAAATCCGCCATGCCATACCGCCATGGCCGCCATTTGATAACACTGGCTATCATCAATGTATAAAAAAGCGAAAGGCCATCTATGTCCTTTTGACAAAAGCTATAAAAAACTATTAGCAAATTAATGTTCATCAAGCTTCCAACCCACAAGATATATCTAACTCTTAAAGCTAACACAAATATCTAACTACAAGTATATCACTTTTATTATTGACAAAGACATTACACACATACTACACGACCATGCCCACTAAGTGAGGACTGGAGAAGCCTCGTCAATTTGGAATCTCTGTATAGAATGTATGAAGATCTGCCATCCGTTAATTTTGAAATAACCTATTGATTCCACCAGATAATATAATCATCAGCAAACATTGGATTAGTTTTCAAGGAGAACATAGGAAGGCTTTTAGCTTCAGCTGAGAAGCTGAACAACCACAGCAATAATCAATGAAAAAGGAATGCTGAAGAAACTATATTTAAACAACTTCCAACGCTAGAACAATGAGAATATTTGAAACACACATAATGTTTTACCCTATGTGTGCAAGTACATGCTAGTTATTAGCACACGTGTTCATTGTCATGCCCAATATTCGTGCATAGTTGGTCATGGGGAGAGGAAGAGCAAAAGTTCTGTAATCAAATAAAATAATGATAAAGAGCCACGAGGATATGGGACTTACAGTTCCAAGAGTTTAACAAGCTCTTATTAATATAGGATCCCTCTTTCTACACAAGCCTGTCGTTCCAGCCTTTGAGCTCTCAGAACCGGCCAAGTCAATTAGGTTCTGCAAAAATGATTGGAAACATGTCATTAGAGTTACTTATTAAAAAAAGGTGATCAAGGTGCAAAGAAAATGATACTGAATCTTGGAATCACAGTCAGCGTATACATGAGTAAAATAAATACCAGCTGTAACAGGGTAACTGCTTCACCTGCAGAGTTGTCACTTGTCACCACAAGAGCTACTCTCGATGGTCTGCAGAGAAAACATATTTACAATAGCATCAGTTGATCAATGGAATAGAAACAAGCAAAAGAAGAACTAAACTATACAATCTGTGTAATGTAAGTAAACAATTGCATACCAGAGTAAAGATAGTATGACTTCTACTGCTTTGTAAATTGAAGTTTGTCGAACCCACATGTCTGTGCTCTATGCAACAAACACAAAAAATATTAATGCAAGAAACGAGGGTATGCCGGAAAAATAACAACTGAATCTTAAATTGCCCCAATATATAATTCTTTAACCTCAGGAATCAAAAACAAAAGAAGCGGAATTCTGCACTAGAATTGACAATAGACAATGATAGAGTAACAGAGGCAACTTAATAACAACAGAGAAACAGAAACTCAGATACAACTTTTTAAGATCATTGTGAGCTGCTTGGAAATTCAGGCACCGGATCCCAAAATGGGAGTAAACAGGAACACTGTCAGTTCAAACAGTAAGCCAAATGCTTGAAAAAACATTATTTTCGCATATTATCATTCAATAAAGAATAAACTGGGTTTATTCAATGCAAAGGGTTGATCAGAAATTACCAACTATTCAGATTAAAGGGTCTGCATTCAGTACAGAAGTCAGACGCTACATTAAGATGGTCTAGAACTCTAGTTTTACCTTCGCCTGCTGCAATAAGAGAGAGGGCATGAGCAGAAGATATACAACTTCTTCCTTCACTCCTTCAATAAAGACTCCCTGCAAACAATCAGGTAAAGTGAAACAAATCACCATTTTTTAGAAAATGTTGCGGAACTATAAATATATCCTCAAAAAAATCTTCGATTATAAAGGACAAGTATATTGGTATGCATAAAGTGCAACTTGTGTACTACTTGTAGCCTGGGCCCCAGTATCATGACAGAGTCAGTTATTCATTTTTCCGGTTTGTATAACTGTGGTCTCCCTCTCTCTCTCTCTCTGACACACACACACAAACAACACAGCCACATCTCTCTCTCTCCCGCAAGCCACTTTTTGTTCAACAAGAAGAGGATGGGGTTGGGTTAGAGTAGTAGTTTTATTCTGTAAAGTTGTGAGACATGTAATATTAAGGCATGGACAAATGAATTATAGATGATCCAAGAAACTCTACTGCAGTGCCACACAAGAAATGTTATCTAATGGTTTACAAAGTAGCCTCGTAACACTCCATGTGTGTCAGTGCTTCGTTGCATTTGAAAATCATTGACTTTGAAACTTGTTTGTCCATAGTCCGTGAAGTTCCATACAAAATTCCACTGCATATACTATTACGCTCAAGCATAGCCAGTCATCAATGATCAGATTCAGTATCAATTTGTTCATTCCAAAAGAACTATAGAAGAAATAGAACAATACAAAATAACTTCATTATGACAAGCTGATGTACCAAAGAGGGAATGGCAACAACCAAACAAAATAAACCCAAAATCCCATCAGAAGTGATGAGTTATTAAACTATAGGACTGATCACCTGCAAATCTTCCCTAATTCTCAAATTTTGCCCAGCTGGATTCAAAAGAGAATAAACTCGCACGAGGAGATGAAGTCATATCAGCTGGCAAAGCAGTTGTCTTGCAAATGGACGACAGAGGCAGGGCCCAGGATTGGGTGTGTTAGGGACTATCCTTCCGAGCTCCAACTCAGGGTGCTCAAGGAGGTCAGTTTGTCCCCTCGTAGGCCACCCGCATTGGCTATTCAGAACCATCTCAATGCCGAATTATTGCAACGAAATTATATATTGTTTCCATTGTCCAACAATATACATAGCAAATTTGCCAACAACTTGAAGGCGAGGATAGCATTACACTGACATTTACATAACCATAATCATGTATTCTATCTGCTAACTGTGAAGCTCTTACCATTGATGGAATCTGCAGTATGACAGTGCACACTAGATGAAAGGGAAGAGTATGTACTCTCATACAACAGATGTTAGAAAATCAGTCAGGTGGAATTTTGACTGATCTATTAAGAGTCGTTGAATTACATTGCCTCACAATGCTTTTGGGGCGGTCAATGTGGGTTCGGGCCAGATTGCCACATTTACTATTGGAGATAGCAGAGCTATTACCACTCATGGGTACATGTACCCCTTGGATGTAAACCAAGTGGTACACCAAGGGGTACAAGTAGCATTATTCAATTTATAAAGGTATTCAATGAAGGCAGCGGTATGCAGTGCAGGTACTCAAGGTTGTTATAAACTGTAGTGTCCAGTAAGTACCATCCTCATTTAAATGAAGCTTACAAAACAAATACCCAAGTTCTGGGCTTGTTCACTCCTTTTCCAACTGCCATAAAATTACAGTAGGTAATATGTAAAGACTATTCACATCCCACAGACTCTAGACTCCGTGTATATGATTTCAAATTCTCAAAAATCTTGAATCACCCTAAGTTCTGCGGATTGCATTTAAATAGATAAAAAATGCTTTCTGGACAAACCAACTACAGAGAGAGCCAGCATAAAATATAATAATACAACCAAAAATTCCAAGTGCACCAGTCCCAGGCCAGATAGAGGTTGGACATATCTAGACCAACTGTCCAAATACAAGTTTAAATAAAAGAACGCCCAGGTAGAAGCATATACTGTATAACACCTGCAATTGCTTGTTCATACTGCTGCCTCCAACCAAAGTGGACAACTTATTTCTTAAAGAATGTGGTTTTATGAAATCTCCATTAACAATATCAAAGCCCAATCAGACAATATTTATTTTCCACATTATAATTAATTATTTTCGCCCCGGAAATTGTGTAGCAGATGTTTGATGTTTGCACTAACAATTTATTTATGATGGAATATATGAGGTTTTAGGTCAGCTAAGCAATATGCAGAACGCACGAAACACTAACATGTGTAAATTATGATAAAAATCACAATTCTTGATATAATCCTCCTTTTACAACAATCAAAATAAAACTGAGCAGCAACAATACCCATTCGTTACAGAATATGAAAAAAGAAATCAAACTTACAACAAAACAGCTTCCCACTTTTATCAATCATGACAAAGTGTATAGATCAAAGAGTTAACCACATATATATATATATATATGAGTCAGAAACCAGCTACATTCATTTCCAGAATTGATGATAAATTAATATACATTGAAGCTGGTGGTTGCTTTAATCAACATGCTGGCTGCAGGCTGCAGCTGTTCAATTGTTTGACGTTCCTCCAAAGGTATCGCCCGCTAGCCATGTCAATGAATACCCAGAACCCGTTTTTCATCATCTGCAGCTTCAGACAAGTAAATATATATACATAACAAATAATACCAACAAAATATTTTTTTTTTTTTAAAAAAAAGACGGTATAAATACTGATACACATAAATTCGTACCTTGAGAAATTGAAATCGTGGCTTCTCAATTTCTTTCTTTTCGAGGGTCGAGTCATCTGGTGTGATGATTGTGATGTTGGGTTCATCTGCAGAAGTCACCGTTTTCCAGGCCAGGTACCCAGCCAATGCTGCCGAGAAGAAAACCAATATAAATCTCAAAGGGCACATTTATAGGGTTTCAAGAACCAGAGATGACTAATTAGATTTTGGAACAACAGACAACTAAGAAGGATCACAGTTTCATCTTTGCGAAACGCGTTGGTTAGCTGACTTTGCGTTTGTTTATTGTAAAAACCTAAGTCAAAAGTTGGTACCCAAATTTCTATACTCGTGCAAATTAAGTTGAATTTTAGTGCTCATCTTTGATTTGTCTCTCAAATTATGATGATGATGATGAGGGTAGGTAATGTAAGGTGCGTCCTGGCACACTTTGCTATGTGTGTCAGGACCTCTTGTGAAATATACATCCCCAAAAACGCCTGAGGTAAGGAGGTAAAGTATGTTTTTTAAATAGTACATGTGTCTCGTGTCAAGATCTTTTGTGAAATACACATCCCCGAGGTAAGGGGTAAAGTAAATTTTTTATAAATGGGCCATTTTTATTGGGAAATGAATTTCATATATCATATTATATAAATTAAATTATCATTCATATTTTGTATCAAAAAATAAAAATAAAAATACTAAAATTCATAATTTTTTATTCTCTACAAATAGAGACCATATTTGATATTTTTTGGAACACAATTAATTTATTATTTTTTACAACAAATTTATCTTATTGGAAGATTATGACGCAAATCTATAATAAGATGAACATATTACATAGTAAAATGAACATGTTATAGAGTAAGATGAACAGGTCATAGAATAAGATGAAAATGTTACATTTTCACAAATGAAATTTAGATGAACATGTTCTAAAATAAGATGAACATGTTACATCATAAAATGAACATGTTATAGAATAAGATGAACATGTTCATTTTTTACAATTAATTTATCTTATTGGAAGATTATGACGCAAATCTATAATAAGATGAACATGTTATATAGTAAGATGAACATGTTACATAGTAAGATGAACATGTTATAGAGTAAGATGAACATGTCATAGAATAAAATGAAAATGTTACATTTTCACATATGAAATTTAGATGAACATGTTCTATAATAAGATGAACATGTTACGTAATAAAATGAACATGTTATAGAATAAGATGAACATGTTACATACACAATAAAGTGAACATGTTATAAGATGAATATGTTACCAAAATGAGATGAACATGTTATAAAATAAGATGAATATGTATTAATTAAATCTGTAACATGTTCATCTTATTTGAAAACATATTCATCTTATTATGTAGCATGTTCATTATATGTAGTATAATAAAATAATTACAAAAAAAGGAAAAATTAGTTGTGTTAAAAAACCTATCAAATGTGATCTCTATTTATAGATAATGAAAAATTATGAATTTTGGTATTTTTATTTTATTTTTTTAATATAAATAATTAATGATTTTTTAATTTATGCAATATGTCTCATTTTTCAATAAGGAAAAATGGGAATGTGCACTACACTCTCTAAATTTTCTAGTTTTTGGGTTGAGGGGGCGCGTACAAAATTGCCCTGGCACACCTAGCTAAGAAATAATACCTAGTAACTTCACTAAGTGAAGATCAAGGTGCAAAAACTTTTTATACTGCAGTTTTAACTGGAACTTTTCATTATAAGGCCCAATTAATTACTTTTTGATATAAATATGTGAACCAACTATTATGTTAGCAAAAATATTTTTATTTTTTTTCTTGTAATTTATATTTTACATACTTATAATAAAAACAATAAATATCTTCAGTAAAATTACATTATTAAGAAAATATGCAAAAGTTTAATAATAATTATTTATAAAAATTGATAAATTAATAAATATGCAATTCAAATATTGTTTTTATTAATAATTAATAATATAAATATGTCTAAAATAAAAAAAAAAATCAATATTTGAATAATGTAGCCTTCATTTTTTTTTCTCGAAACGGTAAATTATGTAGCCTTCATTTTAACTTTTCAGGATTTTAACTTTGCTTCTTGGACGTAAAAGTTGACACCATAATACATATATATCTTATTATTAAAAATAATATTTCCATTACATAGTTTTGAATTCACTTATCAATTGTTTAAGATAATCATTACTGAACTTTTGCATAAATAGTTTATATAATTTCATTTTTTTATTAAGGATTTTTTGCTAAAAGTATTTATTATTTTTTTATAAGTATGTAAATATAAATTACAAGAAAAAAAATAATAATATTTTTGTTCAATAAATAGTTGGTTCATATATTTATTGGTCTGACACAATACCAAAAAGTCTAGACTTGGGAACGTAAACTTTACATTACCCATAGACTTAAATTGAGATTAATCTAAAATGTAAGTCTTTTATTGAGAAAGAATTCAAGCCTTAAATAAATACAATACAAAAAGTTGGGCCTTACAACCAAATCTCCCCAATGACAAAGGTTGATTATAACCAATAATTTTTATTTTTTATTTTTTCCAGAACGATATACATTTAATACACATAATTACATATAGAAAACAACCCAACAGCTAAAAACGCAGCTCAGGAGCCGAATCTAGTGAGAGGACATATCCGAATATCGTTTAGAATC